GTCTTTGTTAGGCAGCGCAATCCAGAAATGTTCGCTGCCCCCCTGCAATGTTGAAATTGCTGTGTCCTCTTAGCAACAGAGGTCCACACACACACAACCCCTTGATAGCACAGAAGAGGTCGGGCCGGTGGCCATGGTTTCACTGCTCATCAACGCGGGTTTGACGGCGCAGATCCAGAGTGGCCCCTGTGTGTGCCCAAGATGCCCAAGCTTGGGCCTTCCACTGGAGTCCACTCAAAACTCTGAGCGAGGTCCTGGATGGGAACCTCATGCCGGTCACAGCCCAAATACTGGTGCAGCTGCTGCAGCTGCTGACGCCATTAACCGATTTGCCTGGAGGCAGCAAGAGCCAACTCTCTGCGGAGGACGAGTTCTGCAAGAACGAGTGCCTGCAGGGTCTTCATCTGACTCTGGAAGAGTCCGTCCAGCGTCCTGGAGGTACGTGAAGTTGGCTGTTTTTACCTCTGCCGTGATGGGGCTGATGCAGAGCCTTGGACCTGAATTGATGGCTCTCTGCGTGCCCGAAAAAACGATCGAAGAAGCTGAGGATTGCGGCGATGATCCTCAGGCCAAAACTCCGCCAAGGGCCAAGGAAGTGAAGACCGTGGTGCTTCGCCAGATCTCGACAGGATGGGCTTCCTGGTCACCTTCTTGGGCCATCCTGTGACCAGTGGCGGCTCCCCGAACTCCGAATGCCGCAATCTGCAAGCTCAAGCTACTCTTTGAAATGCGACTTGAGGCTTTACCAGCGGCGCAGCCATCATTATCGGCCTGAGCCAGGTAAAGTACATGCTAGGCATCCATTTGGACAAGCGCAGCTCTCAGCATGCAGCGCACTGCCTCGGAGCTCTTCGCAGCTTTCTATGGGTGTGGGTCCGTGCAACGGGGCGTGACCGAGGTCTCAGTACGTCTACGTGACTCTGATCGACCTTGCTCTTTGGCCTAACAGAAACCTTGGCGAAGGGTGCTTTCTGGATGATGCATGGTGCTGGATGCCGCATGGCAGTTAGGTCGTCGTGGTTGTAGACGCATCGGGGCAATACAAGCAGGAAAAGCTCCACACTCATGCCGCAAGTGCGTCAGTCGTCGTTGTTGACTCCTCGGACTGCGGAAATGACAAACTTTCAGCCGACATGTGCGCCATCTGCGCGATAGTTGTTGCTTGTGAATGCTCGGATGCAGAAACGACAGCACTTTCAGTAGGAACCTCAAGCGCGGCGCGCCGGCCATCCCCTACCCGCGAATACCTTTCAGAGTGACCTTGACATACCTGAAGATTCGGCGGGTATTCAGGGATGAACCCGTGGCAATAGTACTGGTAGTGACCATAGTAGTGAGAATGTCATGATGATGGTGATATATGGTGATGATGGCCATGATCGTGATAGCGCTGACACTCAAAAAGTTCAGGACATCCCACACAATCCAGTTGTTGAGGTTCGGGGACGAGTATTCTCGTGGCACTGCCAGTCTAGCAACCCATCTACAATGTTCTCTGTTCACAGGTTCGCAAGGTCGGACACACCAAGTGGATGACGCTTCTTCTAGGAGCGCGACATGAGCTTGGGTGGCTGTCCGACTAGTGAGCGCAGTCGCAGAACCTGTGTAGGAGTACTCTCCCTGGCGTTCCTCCTCCTCGCCAAGGAGATCTCCAAACGCAAACCGAGGCTTCTTCCCGCGTCCTGGGTCTCTAGCCGGAGTCAGATTGCATGTTGCGCCTCGAGGTTTGCCTTGGTCGGGCCGCTGGCTCCCTTGTTCTGCTGTGCCGTGGGGCGGCCTACTTTCGACCAGCCTAGAACCATCTGATTCTCAACCGTGTTTTTCCGGTTAAAAGCCGCGCGCAGGCTGGAACTCTTCTGTCCGATTCTTGGACGTGGCACAACACTCGCCCGAAGACAGCAAAGAGTGAGTTGGGAGCGGCGTTCAGGCTGTGGCTTTGCGAACCCTTGCGTGAGCAGTTCAAGGCCATGAAGAAATTCACCTGTAATCGAGCCCTTCTGCGAGGAAGCTTTCGCTTGAAACGAAGGTAAGCTATGTTGGCCAAGAGGGTCCAATCCCTTCCGGCATCGTCCCCCTGAGCCTCGATGCCTGGGATCCGTCAAACTTTTTCAAGGCCAGGCTGCCCAAAGCAAAGTCTTCTGCCAGCTGCTGCAAGAGCAGTGCTATTTTGTGCAGAGGGGTTTTCCGGCTAGGTACTCCCCACTGCCCTTTCATGTTGCCTCATCGGTTACATGGAGTCAATCGTCCAGAGCTCAGAAGGTTCACGGGGTTCAGGGGCCCCTGGGCCTCCCTCCTCCTTTCTTCGGAGCTCAGAATATTCTCATAAGTTCTCGTCATGGAGCCTAGACGCTATAAACCCTAAGCCCTATAAACCCGAAACCCTATATAAAAACCCTCGTAAGGCCATTGGCAAGAACCTGGCTGCCAAGCACGGCTACGAGCTGGAAGCCGGCCAGGTCCGGATCCGCACGATGCGAGTCGGGCGAGTCGGGGATTCCCAAAAAGAGCTGCTAAGCGCTCCGCATCCGCCTCGCTCTCTGGGCGCGGCAGAGGAGCTCTTGGCCCTGGGATTGTCGAATTTGGTGGGTGCCATGCATGGTGCTCAGATCTCAAACTCTCCTGTTCCTGTTCCGAGCGTCTTCGGCTTCTCTCGCTTCAGGTTTTCCTCCTATCCTGTCACAGGCAGTTTCTCCCGCTCTGCGTCGGCCTCTGGTGAGCTGCGTAAAATTTAGAGACTCGAGATATGCTCTCAGCTTCTCCTGCTTTTTCACGGAATTTTAGGCTGTGAACAACGCGACCGGTGCCGTGTCCCAATTCGCTGGCCTGATCACGGCCCTCGTCATGCTGCGCCGCACAAAGCATTTCATGAGTTGCATTAGCTGTGTTCGTTGTTGCGATAACATTCAACACTTCAGGTGCACGCTCCTTTTCCTCACACCACTATTCAAGTACTTGCCTGATTTTGCCTTCAGCTCAGCTTCCCTGTTGCGTACGAGTAGATTTGAGATAGACTTTGGCTTTAATCGCCCGTGGTGTTTCAGTGAAGAGAGTAGTGCTACAAGAGCAGTTAACGCTTAGACACCGTATTGACTGTATTGCAGTTGTTCACACAGTGACGAGGTGCTGGCTGCAATCGTCATTAGCTCCGTCGGGCTCCGACCATGCCCAGTTCTGCTGTGCTGCCGCGCTTTCGCGCACTTTGAGTTGGAATCTGTGGGGAATTTCTGCTCGAAGATTACATGCAAACTTGAGATAGTGAGACCGCTGGGCTGACACCGGCGGTCAAGGGATCAGCCATGGGATCCACACCCTCGCAGCCGGCGAAGCAAGTGGCGACCAGTGTCTTACGCAAAGCCGGTGAACCCCTAAATACGTTGGGCTACCAAGTGGTGCACGAGAAGCTTGTCTACCCAACCGGGACCAAGCCCACCCGCTTGACCGTTTGTCGCTGCTGGCAGTCGCTTCGCTTCCCTCTTTGTGACAATACGCATCAAAGGCTGCAAAAGTTGGGCGTCGATGTCGGACCCGTGATGGTCGAGATCAAGCCAGGAGCCGCCAATGTCTGCGCGGAGCCGGAGGCCTCGGGCTCTGCGGGCTCTGCCTCGGCGCCGTTCTTGTCCTCCCTGGGCGGAACCAAAGCCGCGGTCTTTGGCGGAGTTGCGGGGGCTGCTTTTGCCGCCGGTGCCGCTGGCATGACCGGAAGCTTTCCGATGTGATCGCCCTTTGATGGCCTTGACTCGGAGATGCCTGGAAAGGTCACAGGTCCTGATCTTCCAGCTGCATGGGAGTTTGCCTGAGCCCGTCGCCAATGGCCTCAAGAGCAACGGCATCTTGCATTCCAGATGGAAAAAGCTGGAGTGCTGCTGCTGCCTTCGCTGATTTTGTCAGCTTCTCTGCGATGTTTAGAAGCATGTGTCATTAAGACGACTTGTCGGCTGCAAGGTGGCCCCGCTAGTGGCATACAAGGAGGCCGAAATCGTGTGCGCAAGAGTGCCAAAATTCACAGCTGCGCCTTGCGGATTTTGTCTGGTGTGAGGCCAAGAAACTGTGGCGTGTCAAGAAGCAGGATTGCTTCCTCTGGGTATCGGCCCAATCATACACGGGGCTGTTCTCTGACTTTGCTCTGGGCGGCAGTGAGGTTGCAGCCTTTCTTGGAACTCTGTTCCTCGGCGTGCTTGAGGGCCGTGGCCTGAGTACCGGCATGTGACATTGGGACTGCAGGCATTGATGGTTCCGCGCTTGATGCCTTGTTTAAAACTTGGACAGGCATTGCCTTGGCAGTCGGCCTTTCACTGTCCATTGTCATCTACGAATCGGTGAGGCCAGCTAAGCTGACAAGAACTCTCTTGACTGTTGCGGCTGTGGCATATGGGTATTACGGGCTCTTGCCCCCCAAAGGCACTCCGTTCTCCAAGCTCGCTCAGCCTGTACCCGAAGGCCACAGATCGCGATTCTCTGGCGCCTTCCTGGAACCACCATCTACCGGAACGTGAAGCAGGTGTCGGTATGTTTTGGTCGACATTGAGCGGCGTTCTCTGGAAATCGTTCCGTGTCAGTCCAGTTTCCACAGACACCCCCCCCCCCCCCCCCCTTCCCAAATATTCGCGGCATCGCTCGTTCCGATCATGTGTTGCGTGGGCTGTTCCCAAAGAGCGGTGCTGTCGAGACCAAGTCGCCCCATAGATCATCAAAGATCATCAGCAATGGGAGGACCCGCATGGATCCTTCGTGCCGAACGTTTTTATCGCCCGCATTGGGAGCAGCATGCCAGGGCCTGGGAAAGATGCTCTGGCCCATCGTGGCCGTGTAGCCACGTGAGTGTTGCAAACTTCTACCCTTGCCGCGCGCCACGCTGCTAAGATATTTCGCGAATGCCTACTTCATCAAGGCCAGGACCTGTGAATTTTGGTGAGACATTCACTTGTAAGCTCCTTGCGAGGACTGGTTGCAGGAGCGTATCTCCGCCCTGGAACACATCAACCGAACGGAGTACATCGTTCTAGAAATGACTGCCGCCGCTCACTCAGTGAGAGAACGGCTGCAGGTGTCGAGGTTTTTGAAGATGCCGAGGTTGTCAGCGTGGACTCTACGGCGCTGAACGTGTTGGAGGACCCTGATGGCTGCATTCACACCGCCTCGCCAGCCGCGGTGTATCGCTTGGAAGGACGTGGTGAACGACTTCCGCGGTCGAGGCATTCAGATTGCCTTTGCCATGGTGGGCAACCGCTTGGACAGGAGCCTGCTGTGTGCCTCTGGCAGAGAGCTGAGAGCCAGCGCACTGAGACTCTGGGCCAGGACCTTCCGGAAAAGTGGATTGACAAACTCGGCCGGCCACCGACAGTCTGAGGAGCCGCAGGGGCCTTGGGAGCACTAGACCAGACCTTGTGCCTTCAAGGTCGGCGAAAAATGGTTCTTCCCCACTGTGCATGACGCCGTCGTGGGCTGTCTCCGCCATCAGAAGGTGCCAAGATTCCGTCTGCTTGCCGTGCCTCGGGGATTCGGATTCAACCAGAGAGGCAAAGAGGAAGTTGCTCGCGACAGTCCGTGGCATGAATTCCGTCCGAGGCTTGAGCAATGGCGATCCTCTGCCTGCGCTGATGGCATGATCCGCATGTCTTCCCGCGCCGAGGTCGTGCCGAGCAGCAACCTGGCGGTCCTTGGTCCTGGCGGAACGATCACAGACTGCGGTCGCGCCGACGTGTCCTTGGAACTCTCCGTGGCAGACCGCAAGCGGCTTCTGTTCGAGTTGCCAGAGCGCTGAGGAGTCCAAGAGTCGAATTGCATGCTGGGTGTTGCAACACGGGCGGTTATGTTCAGGGGACTTGTGATCTCGATTCGGACTTTGTTCTCGGCGTTGTCGCTTGCCCTGAGCCAGGCTCGGAGGTCAGCGGCGCAGGGGCGACGGGTGGCGAGACAGACCTCCAGCCGCTCGGACGGATGTCGAACGGTGGAAGCGTTAACGTGCCGGGAGGTGAGTCGACATGCCATTTTTTCTCCCAAGGTCGGCCACAGACCTGGAGGCTTTGGCACCGTTTTGGTTTTGGACATGCAGCACGTTCCATCGCTTTTCCGCGCCCGCCGTGAGGTCGGCCTGCCTCTCTCCAAAAGTCAGGAGGTCAGCGGCAGCGGTGTAAGTTGGAAGCAGTGACCGTCGCTTATGCATGCAAAGGACCTCTTGGACATCGAGGAGAACCCAGTCCACATGGGAAATGAAATAGGCTGCGTGCACTGCGGGCATCGCTGCAAGTGGACTGGATGCGGCACACCACTTGCTGCAGGCTTTAGCAATGATGTCCACCACTCGTGCACAGTGATTTTCATCAACATGAAAGAGGCTTGTTGCAGCATGGCACAGCTGCTACAGCTTCGACTCGAAGACCGGCAAAGCTAAAGGGCTAAGAGTTACAAATATTGTTGTTGCAGAGGATGTGCCGATGATCATGTCAGACATTACCGCAGCTGGGCAGCATTGAGGTCGCAACCGAGTGGTCGCATGCTTGTCCGCAGCACGACCAAGCCGTACCAGATGGGACTTCCATTTCGCATCGGTCAATACGACTTTTCCTGTCGTCACGAGGCAATCTTCCAGCGGCGCAGCTGGGACATGTTTTCTACAGTCATCTGTGTCTGGCATCACTTCTGTTCGTCGGTGCCGCTTCGTCCGAGAATAGCAGGTGGCTTGACCATCTGCCGGGCAAACATCGAGGACGACCGATGAGACTTCTGCCTTGGAGGGCTTGTTGATTTCAGGTTGTGGGAGGTGGAGGGAGAAGGGTTGGCTCTTCAGTGGCTTTGTGCAAAGTATGAGCATGCAGGCGATGGATGATGAGCGCGTGACTGGACCAGCGTGTCGGGCACGTGCTTGCCTTACCATTGCATTCTTTCCATGCTGGGGTCTGTACCACGCCGGTGTGTGGCGAATTGGGTCAAGTCATTGTGTTCAACAGGTTTTAAGCTTCTTGCTTCTTGCATCGATAAGAGGTCCTCGAGAACGCATTTCTCAGATCGCATGACGTTGTGGCCCACCCTGGAACCGAACCGTTTTGCTGTCTGTTATTCTCTTTGCATGGCCCTTCCTCCGCTTCACGAAGAACGGTCTCAGCATGGCTGGTGTATGGCTGCGGCTGCAAGTTGTATCACGCACCAGTCTCGTTCATGAGCCCGAAACTCGAAAAGACTTGATTCGCCATTGCAGAGGGGGGAGGTGCATTTAGTGGGTTGACATCCTGGCTGCAGCGTTAACTGTTACGATCCCACTCGAACATATGCTAGTGTAGCTCAATGTCAGATCTTGAGACTGCGAATGAGATCGTCGTCTCGGCCAGCCGGCCGACACGCCGTGACATCGCTTGCAGGGGAAATGGGTACTGTAAGGATCCCAGGCAACAGCAAAGCAGGAGATCGGTCGCAAGATCTGGTTTTGTTGCGACAAGCGAGACGGGATCCCTACGACACGACTCACATGGACATAGACATACCGAATAACTGCCGCCGTTCCGTTGAATGAAGTCGACGCTGAGCATGTGCTGCTTCACAGGTGGCGCCTCACATGTCTATCACATTCGGAGCCTGCAGACCCACGGCAAGCTCCAGGCGCGGGTAGCGGGCGGGGGAGTTCCGGGGAGGGACTTTGAGGGAGCTGTGGCTGTGTGCGACCGGCAGAGGACTCGGAGCTCCTGGGTCTCAAGAAAGACCTCCTGGACCGAGTCTCTGACTGTGTGGAGACTCAGAGAGAGAGAGAGAGAGATCAGCTGCTACTGTATAAGCTGCTCGTTGTTTCTTTTTTGTTACAGGAGCTGTGGCACTGCCTCGTGGACTCCCCCCGATGAACCAGCCTCCGTCTTGGCTAAGAAGCCCTGTTTCATGAGCGCATGCTTCGTCATTGTGACCGAGGTATGGGTGCAATGTCACAGCTCCCGGCACAATGCAGGTGCACGGAATTTGTAAAGCACACCTGGCTGCAACCTCACCGAAGAAGGATGGGGACGTAGCTGGCATCCGTTTAGCCACCAAAATGGGCGGCGAATCTTTAGTTTCCAAGGGATTGTGGAGGCGGCGACACGAATCCCCGAATCCTGTCTTTGCCATGTTAAGAATGTGGCTGTGGCTTTGAACTCGATGGCAGCTCCAAAGAGCAGAGCCACGATTTGCTCACCTACTCCAGGTACAATTCCACAAGAGCAAAGGCGGCTTGTACCAGAGAGCTGAACAGAGTGACAGAAACAGAAGAAGCAGCTGAAGCCTCCGTCTGGTAAGGTACAGTCCCGGAAGCCTGCTCTCAATCTTCTTATTGCTTAACTCCGATTTTGTGGCTTCCCTGCCCCGCCACTTGCCGACCTGCAGACCGCTTAAAATCAGAGCAATGTCACGCATCCTTCTCAGTGCAGTGTCGGCAGGAAGGCGTTGCTCTGCAAATTCAGGGTTACTGGGGTTGTCTTCAGTACAGCATGAGCTCGCATAGATGGGGCTTTGTGCATCCACTTTCCGGCCACAAGTGCTCCTTGGGCAAGCCCTAAGCTTTCTGTGCTGTGCCGTTTTCAAAAAAAGGGAATCGTCTCCTTTGGTGAAGGGTGGAGTCTGCCCCTCCCAAATGGAAGAAGCCACAGACTTTGGAAGGAGACGGCCGCAGCCGTCCGTTGGCGAGTTCAAGCGCATGGTGGCCTTGGTCTCCACCGCGGCTCAGAAGGCACGCCGAAGAGCAAAGGGGCCACCAGGCATAGTTAGGGCCCGGGTATGTTCGGGTGCCTTCTTGATGTCACGTCATGTCACGTCTCTTGCTTCTGGGCCTTGTGGGCCGAGATGAGCGTCGTCGAGATCCTAAGTGCGATACGATCTCGCTGTCGGGTGCTCGGCGAGATCGAGATCGGTCCTCTAATCGGGTCGATGGTCGATCCGTCTTCAGGTCCGGAATGGAAGGTCACGCCCTGCCGAGTGCGAAAGGCGCGTGTTCGTGTTTTAAACTTCGCTGGGGACCGAACGTGGACAGTGACCGCAGAGGCACTGGCAGCTCTACACGCAGAAACCAAAAGAGGTCACCGAAGCAGTGCAGATGCAGTTGCACGATGAGCTCTGCTGATCTCGCCCGGCAAGGAGAAGCTCCTCAGGGCAAGTGCCGGATCTACCCGCAGCGCGGCGGCTCAGGGACTGGACTCCGAATTGCTTTCCCTGGAGGGCCCGTCGACAGTTGACGGGCCGTAGAGGCCACATTTGGGCAGGAGACCTGCTTGGAATGCTTTGATGAGATGAGTTGACATGTGTGCTGTCGTGGATCTGAGCTTCACGTTTTGTCTTTACACACGCTCTCGTTCCCCCTATACGAGAGCTGACACATGACTGGCATGAAACTACGTAGCTATAACTGGGCACTCGCAGTTGGCGTCCTCACTAATTTAGCCTAGACACCTCGTTGGAATCATTCGCATGGACCAAGCACGTGTCTCAACGTGCAACTTGTGCAGCAGCAGCCGACTGCCCGGCGAATCAAACGACAGACTGGCAGCGAGTAGACCCAACAGATCCCAACGCGAGAGCAACGGCTAAGAGTTTCAAAAGCGCGTGCATGTGCACAGCACTGCAGTAGCTTTCCATTCAAGTCGCCTGTTAGCTTAGTGCGATAGGGCAGGGCCCGCGAGCTATTCAGAGTGTAGCGCTCCGAGTTCTGGTAGCGGCCGAATGTCGCGGCTACTGGTCCCAGAGACATGAGCCGGTGATGCGGCTGCTTCAGGTTGCTCGCGGATGTTTCCTGTTTGCAGTGCAGTTTCACTGCACAAAACCGTCACAACGGCAGGCTCTTTGCCTCTTGCTTTGGGTACCTTCGTCTGGCCATAACTGTGGCATAGCTGCGTCGAACGATGCCGGCGGCCACACTTGCCCCGGCCTGAACGTAATCCTTGTCTGTTCACGGCCACGGCTTGGGACCTCAAAAACAGCCCGACTCGAGCAGAGGCGGCGGTCGCGTGGACTGGCTCGTTGGCTTCAAGGCCAGGTCGCGCTGTGCCGATCTCACCTGATGGTGTCGGGTTCAGATGGGCATTCGCATTGCGATCGCGTAGCAGCGTAGCAGACTCTTTTCATCAGAGTGAAACATGAAAAAGCCTCAGTCGTCCACATCAATCAAGCCGAGCCATCCTTGCAATGGTAAAGGACCTAGTAAAAGGAATCCAAGCGGTAGGGTCCAGAGCAGAGCCAGAGGGTCCTCCCTTCATTGTCTCAAGCCGAGAGCGCTCTGAGGAGCTCACGGAGGAGGAGGCGGGCATGCAGGTGGCTTCCGAGTATCCGCTGTCCTGCTGGCGATGTGGCTTTCAAAGCTCCAGCTGCAAGCTCCCGAAGCAGCTCCTTGGCAATAGATGTGCTTCCACATTTGAAGGTTGCTTGAGGTGTGAAGAAGTGAGGTACCACGATCCCCAGCTGCAGCAGCTGCAGATGATGAATTGTGGCAAAGTCCAGAATTTCGGAGGCAGTGGAGCTAGGAGACTAGGAGACAAGAAGTGTAGAAGGCCTCGGTTTCTGCCCGAGCTCAGGAAAGCCATCGCCCAGTTCCAGGAGCCCGTGCTTCTTAAAGGTTTGGGCGTAGGCGTGAAGATGTGCGATGCTCCGCAGAACGACGTGGAACTGGACAGCAGCCACTGGGCCAGTCCAGACCAGTTGGCTGTGTGGCAGCAAAAAAGCAAGGATGCAGGACGGGCGTTCGCCTTCGACGGGTTCTGCTGCACCGGCAGAGAAGCCAGGAGCCTTTTGTCAGCAGTCGGCCGAGCTGTTGGACAATGACCAGTTCGAGGCGGCGGCGGTGGTGTCGCTTTACGCTTGGAGTCATGTGCCCTGGCTCGTGATTGGTGATTCCGAAGCATGCAGTGCAACTCACGACTGTGGAGTGCTTGTGAAAGGGTGCAAAAACCTGTCTGCAGACTGGGGCAAAAGCAGGCTACTAGCACTGTAGCCAAGGTGGTTGTAACTTTCAAGTTTTAGTGGCCTTAGTTTTTGTCGAGAGCAAGCCATGGCTTTACCCGTCTCTCAGACATGGATGCCCCAAGTTCAGCTGAGTCAAACCAAAGGTCATCATGGACGACTCGCAGTGTTGCGACCTACTACGACCTCCTTTTTGCCACTCGGCTGAAGCTACCTTGACACTGCTGCAGCACGTCGTCGCCATTGGCAGTGCCGTGGCATTAGATAGTCAGGTCTACAGGCGCACGCCTCCTGGTCCACGCTTTCCGTCGCGGTGCTCGTAGGAGGTGCGGCTGTGGAATGACGAACGGATATGCTTTGAATCTGGGGCAGCTTTCATCACGAAAGTCAGTCATCTTGTGCTCGCAGGTGCCTTCTTGGCACTGGTATTCTCCGTCATCGCATCGCTGACGGCCACCTGTTCGGCATTTGCGCGCCATGAGTCACACCATTGGGCAGATATTTAGTTCAACCAGCACTGCCTGCCGGCTACGGGGGAACGGCGGTGTGCGGAATCGTATCCAATCCGTAGAGAGATGTCATTGCATACACCAAGGTCCTGAGCCCATCGCCGGATCCCCAATGAGCTGCAAATCCGGTTGTGCTGGAGTCTTCTTGCGGCCAAGGCCGACACCTCAGGGGCCAAGCTGCTCCCCGGGCCTCTATGCAATGCCTCGATCTAGTGCCCCTGCTCCCGCGGATCTGCACCAGGACCCCAATTCTTTTCCGGTTTTCGAGCCTTGGGCCACAGGGCCATGACTTGCCCTGGCAGGAGCTGCTGAAGCATTGGATGAAGGATCACTCCCTTCGTGGCCTCCACGGGGCGCAGCACTTCGCGGAGAGCACTGCCAGCCTCTTCTCCGCCCTTTACCAGCGCTTCGACTTCCAAGTCGACAACGTCAGGCCGCCCCGGCTACCCCCCCATAAAGCCATAGGAGGACGGTCCAGCCTCCAGTCTCAGTCTCCGAGACAGGAACCAGTTCGACCACCTACTCTCGCTCCAAGCCCAGAGAAAGGAAAGAGGACATCTGATGTGTTTTTACATTTCTTCTCTTCGCTTCTGACCCAGGCTCTGGCGCTCGCACTGCGCGATCCTGGCCGACTTAGACCTCGAATTGGAGGAGGAAGGGCATTTCCTCACCGATGCGGCGGCTCCCTCTGAGATTCAGACAGCGCTCACCAAGACGACAAGAGGTCTATCAGTCTATCAGTATATTCCTCTTGGCCTCGTGAGGTGGTGAATGAGCAAACCCTTCTGCATGAAGCTCTCCATGCTATGCATGCGTGTACCTGAGGAACACAAACGGTTCTGTCACCGCGTCAGCCTGCCTCGGCCAAGGCCGAGTTGTTGGAGGGCTTCTTGCGCTGGCGAGATGCTCTGGCGTCTGAGCTACAGGACGAATCGGGGCGGTCGGGTGGCCCGTGCGAAATACTGCAACAACTCTCTGTCGTGAGTTTTTTGAGGAGCCCCTGAGCTTGCACGGCTTGGGCCTGGGTGGGGCTCGCTGGGCGCAGCTGCCACATGGAGCCTGGTTGGACGCCGATGGTACCATCATGGCACGGGCCGCGAAGATCAGCAGCAAACACCTAGCCGAAATCGATGCTTGTCTGCATTGGTCGTCATTCTGACATTGGGGTCCTCGTAGGTTTTTGCAACTTGATTTCATTGTGTGGTCTTGACCTTGTCTGGAACAAAGCGCAGGCAGTCTACTTGCTGGTCTGGGGCGAAGCTGGCAATTTGAGGTTCATGCCCCCTTGCTTGCAGTTGGATTCTGGGCAACTGCTCTCAGTCGTGCGATGCTGCAACGGACTGAATCTTGCTTGTGCACATCCAAAGTACGTAGCTAGGCAGTTTTGCAACAAATGCTTTCCGTGGAGGTAAGCT